GATTGCAGTTTTCATTAATTTCTTTTTAAATTGTACAAATTATTAATTCGAAAAAAATGTTAAAATTGTTTATTAACACTTGTGAAGGTACAGACATTTACGGCTAACAACTGTTGTTGTAAAAACTTCTTCGACGTCGTAATCGGGATCGTTATTGATCGTTTCCGTTTACGATTTTCTTGTGGTAGTAAAATGGTTTTATGGTAATAAAATCAACGGTTTTGCTGCCGCGGGTTTACGGTGAAACGGCTCAGCTCAAGCTGTTTGTTTGCGTTGGACGATTTCGGATGGTGCCGCGCCGGTTGGCAACACATTGTGGGAGGCGCAACCGACCGAAAATTAAGACCGAAATGATGTGTTCGGGTGGAAAAGTCTGTTCGTTAAAGTTTGTCGGTTTTTATTGTCGAAGGACCACACCGATTCCAGAATGCTATCGCTCATTTACAATTGACGTCGTTTATAAACTGCTACAAGGAAGTAAAGAAATCTATTAAGTTAGTTTAAACTGGCTTGCGTTAGGTTGGGTTAAATTAGAAACATTTATTTTTTATTTATCAGTCTTCGTAATTAAAGTCACTCTACGTTTTCTGAAGAGGTTAAAAATTGCAATACTTTTACAGTTATCTTTTTCGCAATAACCACACAATTCTTCTTGCGGAGTAACTTCAAATTTTTCGATTCTAAAAATAGGTCCAATTCATCTAATATCGTTTTAGAGAAGCTGAAATCTTCCAAATCACTTCATGACGCTTAGAAGTGTTTCTTCTATAACTTGAATATATCTCTCTTTTTTTATTGGTTGTTTTATTTCCCAAGCCAGTACTTGACAATGCTGTTTTGCTTCTCTTCAAACAAGAGAGACAATGCTGATTTACAAGGTTTTGCTTCTCTTCAAACAAGAGAGGAGAACATATATAAGAAAATGGCTAAATAAGAAACTAACGATGATGGTGCTTTTTGTAAAAGCTAAAACATCAAGTGTTGTAGTACGCGTTGATTCTTGTTTTGATTCCCACACCATCATAAAATAAACACAATGTTGAAATGATTGCTGATTTATTGTAAATAAAACATTAACTTCCTGTCATGCTTAGTGCTTCAATATATTTTGTGCAGATGCTGAAAATGCGGATATACGTAAAAGAACGGGACGAAAACAAAAAACAGTTCTGAATGGAAATGTAGTATTTTGAAGAATTAATGGACAAAACAAGATGAGCAAATGAATACTTCAAGCAGTGTGATCACAGAACGCAGGTGGTTAAGGCTATAACTGTATGTGGAAATGTTTTTCTATTATCACTGACGATATTAAGGTTTTTACACTCACTAGTTTTAATGCAATGGCAAAGATAAGCAGGACATCCATCGAAGTAGTCAAAATAATTTATAAATTATTCCGAGAATTAGGCTGAAATCGAAGGAAGGGCAAACTCAAGCTTACGCAACACTTCAAAATAAAATATGGTATATTAGAAAAAAAATTAGCACCTGTAACTTTATTACTTCATTATATACTATACAAGCAAAGGAAAGCTGTATTACTACATATACAATGAAGGTAGTGGAAAGTAAAGTCAGAACGAAGTAATAAGCTTGATTCATCGGAAAATCTTGGAGGGAGTATGTTCTTTAAAAGTTGTACGCTGCATTTTTTACCATTTGTAAGATGTTTTTCTCTTTTCTTTATAGGTTGAACAGGTTTTGAAAATAAACAAAAATTAATAGTTGCGGTTGATTCTAGTTTAAACGAGAACCATACATACCTTTAACCGATTTTGCTCGATGTTTGTACTTTTAACCTCTGAAGGTTATCTATCATTCAAGTATACGATTTTTTCAAAATGTCAAAACCAAAATTTGATTATGGGACGCATATGTCCAAATCGGTATTTTCGATGAGACATCTCTTTCTCATCATTAAGGAAATGAAACAATTTTAATATACCTAAAACATTAAAGAACTTATAAATACATATAAATAATATTAATATAAAACTTACATCGTTAGGTGTGATATGATGTAAAACATTTGTAACAGAGAGGTATGTTGCACTGAATACACATGGTCTTTGTTCTCACTTCAGCTTTTTGGTGGGCTCATCTGAATCATCTCCTTCGAGTTGGTCCTTGAGTAGGAAGATGATCTCACACATCAACATTATATATGTAGATTCCTTGAAGTAGCTGAACGATGTTGTTTTTCTGACAACTTTTGCGTTTGCTCTGCTTTTTCTTACAAGTTTTTCTGGTAGGTTGACGATGAATGATATGGTATTCCTCTTCTTGTACTGAAAGTCATTGCTATGGTTAGTAGAAGGTTGTAAAATACTTTTCGCCGCCATTTCATTCATTTCCTATCGAAATCATACACGCTTGAGAGATAATCCCCTCTCATGTATGTGTTATAGTCGGAGCTAGTGGGTACTTTAAGCACTTTTACGTCATTTTTCAATTATCTATTGACTTCCCTCGTAACTTGCCAAAAACTAGCAAGTAGCAACAATTTTATGTTTTTCTGTTTCAGTTTTGTTGTTACCGTAGGTACATTTTTTCAAGTTCGTATACATGTACCAGTGATAACAAAGGGTAGTTAGATAATAACTTCAAGGAAGTGAAATATCGATGTCTAAGAGTATTGCTTCGTTTTGGCATATCTTTCACTAATTTCTCGACAATGTTCTCCGAGCGTATTTTGTTTGTCAAGTGCAGATTTCTTTCCAGAATAAATATCAAAGTTGAAGACGTACTTCGTCTTGGAATAACACAATTTCCAGATTTTTATACCTCTTTTGCTTGGTTTCAGAAGTAGATATTGTTTTAATAATTAATAACATTGATTCATCAATTGACAAATAAGAGCATAACGATTTAGATGATGGAAATGTTTTTTTTTAAGCAGTCAACTAAGTCATCCATATAGTAGGCTTTGCTAGAATTATCTGGTTTTTCTGGATCAATATAATACATTTTGAAGATAAGTATCATAAATCGATCACGACTGATTGTATCTTTGATATAATAAATATTAAGAGCTTAAGACAATAAGAATATTGTCTATTCTTAATATTATAAGAATATTAAGCTGTTGATGACATTATAAGCATACAACCCAAGGCGATCATAATTTAATGGTCATGCGTAAGGGTAATTTTCTGTTTTTTTGATGGTTTGCATTTTGCGCTGACTTTTTGTTGATGAAATATTAGTATCTGTTTCTTCGGGAGAAAATTAGATATTTTCTCAATATCCTCCTAATGAATTGTGCGATTGGGGTTTAGATCTTTATTCCTGATGGATCAGTTGCTTCAGCATTTTGTTGATCACCACCGGATGTCGCTGTATCAAGAAAATCTTCATCATTCTCTTCTTCACTTTCGAAAGTTTTTGATCGTTTGGTTGCTGGGTTTTCTTTATGTGAGGAGTAATAATCGCTGGATTCATCACTGGCATGAATTTTTCTTTTTGAATTAGAAACCGCTTCGCCTTTCTGGAAAAAATGTGCTTCTGAGATTGGAACGTGCACAATACTGTTGGGGGACAAATAAGTCCCACTGAAAATTACTATTGGGACATAAACGTCCCGGCTATTGTAACAAACTACAATTATTCACGAACAAACTAAATATGTATGTTCATTATATGATAACTGTGTTGATGTGACATTCAGTGTGATTGTTCAAGTATCTTGCAGGGCTATTTAAACCTTTTGAGTAGTAGAGCTCATTAATGTAATTGCGTTCTCTGATTCCCTTTCATTTCACCTATAACTTTAAAAATTCTGGTAGCAACCTCAATAGTTTCCACTCTTCCACTTCTAGTGTGTAGGTATTACAAGATGTTTGGGGTTGTGGATATTTATCAGGGAAACTTTTATAGAAATATGATGGTCAAAATTTAGCAAATATGAATGTCTCAATGTTGCCAATATAATAACTTTTAGATACTATGAAAGTTGTCATTGTAGAAAAAACTGTAAAGTAATCGAGAATACAATGTCCAAATTCACTGGAATCTAGAATATTAATATCAACTTTTTTGTTGATGTACCCGAGAAATCAGATGAAGTACCATTTCTTACATTAAATTTACAATTGGGGGTAGTTATAATCTTTATCTTTTACCTATTTAATACACAGTTATTTTGATTCTTAAGAAGTGATCATAAATTTTTATAGTGAATAACCAACGTAGTATTGTCGGCCTATTGTAGCATATAACTGTGCGTATCAACATGATTGATATTCTAACGATCGATTATCGAGAGTGGGCGATATTAAGGACCCTGTCGAACATATTATAGAGGGAAGAATGAATAATAGAGTTACTTATTTTTGCGTTCAAGGTCCTCTCTCGTAAGTATGTGTCAATAACTTGTAGGTATGAACAGATTATTCTGTCTTTTATCTTGTATATCAAACCGTTGTACCCAATTGATTGATCTCTCTAAGAAAATAGAAATTCATATTATTATAATAGGTATATAGAAATCTTAATTTCTACAATTAATTTAAAATTTAAAGAAATTGTCAAGATTTTCCTATGATTAATATAAACTAATTACCATATTGAAATTATATTCAAGTACCCACAGTGAATCACGTTATGTATTTAGGATAAAAAAACAAAGTTTATTTAATTCAAGATGACTCAAATCCGGTTTTATTCCGTACAGATTTAAACTATCTAAGTAAGAACCAGTTACATACAAAAATTGCGTCACCTATTTACATATGTATGCAAAGAATACATTCTTTTTTGCGGTTATACACCTACGTGGGTTGAATCCAAATAGATTCAAGGTGTAATCATCTTATTTGACCTTATTTAACGGCGTTTTACATATTTATAACCAGTAATTGTCAGTACATCATACCCAAAAGCTTTCTTTTGCGTTTGAAGAGAAATCTTTTAGAAATGTACATTTTATTAAAAATTGTAAAATGATTAGAAAATTATACGATTTCAGTTTATTAAAGCTATTTTCTATTTTGTTTCAGATTTATCGTTGGATATAAACGATGACCCTGTGCAAGAAGTAAGCTTCAAAAGCAAAGAGGATGTGTGACTGAGTGCGTTTTAACGTTATTCCGTTTTTAATTGTTCGTCTTGTTTTTTTTTCGTCCCCCGTTTTTGTTGTTTTAATTGCTTTACGCAATTTCCTACTACTTAAATTGCAGTTTTCGTGTTTACATTTTGCTCTTTCTACAAATTCAAGTACATTATGTAGAAAGGTAGCGGTAAAGTGCGTTCGTCGTGGATAGAGAGACTTTGAGACGTCTCAAAATGTTGTCGTACGTGTTGTCGGTGGACGATAAGCCACCGCCGTGTCCCACGAAAACACACCATCACTTGCAGCTTTCGTTGGGACCGGAAGCTATGCCGACACCTCCGTTGACCAACGGAACAAACTCCTCGATAAGCAAGGAAACCAGTGTTAGTAGTTTTGTTAGCAATGCCTCAACGGCTACTGCTAGTCAAAGCTCTGTTACTCCTTCCAGTACAAGTGATAAAACTAAACCGAAACTTTTGATCAACGGTGCAAAGCACCAAACACTTAAAAGGTAAGTTTTTAACATTTTATCTTAAAAGTAATTTTTCATCATACGAGTTTTTTTCTTCCATAAAGCTTGTAGCGATTGGTTTCTTAAAAAAACCTTACCGATCTCTTAAATCAAACAAATGTCTGTCATTCCAGATATACATAACTTCCAGCTTTTAGCACGACGACGTGTGTGTTTACGTTTAGAGAACCGTCTTTCCCAATCCGCGTTTGTATCCTCCGAGCTTTTCATTTTCTCAGATGTTCTTAGAAACTGCATCCCGGTTATAAAATGTTTTCGAGGCGGTTTCGATGCTTTTGATGCTATTCATATACAATTTGGTTGGTAAATCACATTTTGTTATTGTTGAACTATTTTGGACAAACTTAGAAACAAATCTATTTATCATCAATTTAGATTATTTTATAAAGCACTTTGAAATTTTCAATAAATGAGTTATTTGAATGGGATAAAGTAAGAAATTAGAAAAATAAATTGAGATCAAATAGAAGTTTAAAAGGAGGTTGTTTAATTTGTTTATGGTTAAATCTTTATACTTTAATAAGATTAATGTTTTTCTCCTTTATTTTAAGTTTGATCAAATGACCATTAACTACACCACACATTTTGGATAAACCTAAAAGAAGTTAGCAAATTAATTAACTGCTAGTGACGAGAGATAAGTCAAAGAACATTATACATACTTCAATATCCCAGTTTAAATTAATAATCACTTCACTATTTTAACAAGCCAAGAAAATGTTTTTTAAGTTTCTACTTTTGAGGTTAAATCTTTTTTAAGGAACTTCAAAGTTCATTCACAGCGATTCATTTTTTTATTCCAAAAATTTATTCTTACTTAGGACAAAAATATCCTGAGTAAAATCAAGTCGAAACTTGAGCTACTAAACGATGTTGTTTCTGGCAAGAAAATGATCAATGATATTTTAGTATATTTTTTATTATGTTCTTTATTTCAACGTTTGCATATAAGAAAAAGCTACATATCACGATATTTTGCATTGCAATTTTAAATTCTATTTCAAAGAAATTTAATATATTTGGGATGAATTTAAATAAGATTTATCACTTCATTTATATGAGTTTAAGTATTTCTAGGAATTTTCTAAAAGTAGACCATGATTTTTCTTTTAAATACCGATCGTTATAGCTGAGAAACCGTAGAAAATTTCAACAACAGTTGCCAAACAGAAGTGCCAAATTGTAAACCCTCTATTTTTAACAAACAGACCATTTCAGTTTACCTCCAATTCACGTGCGCTCGTAATTTTTAAGATAGATCGAACATGCTTAAATCGTCATAAATTAAACAATTATCTGTCTACAGCGGAATTAATTTTTAAATATTTACTCGTTTACAATACCAAACCCAATCTCCTTTAAGCACCTCATAAAATTTTATTCGTTCGTTCAATACATATTAAATTACACCAAGAGTTATGTACTTTTTACTTTCAAGATTGATTTTGAACGAACATTTACCGTCTTTCCGGTCGCCTGTAGACGTAGACGACGTCGAACCACGTCTACCACATTTCTTGCGTTATTTATTTCGTCTGCGAGGCGTTTTACAACCACGTCCATAAGACGAAAAGCAACGACTCACCGCGTTCGTATACCTTTTATACGATCACCGTAAGGCATGACGATGGACGTTGGTTTAAACTTTTTAGTGGCCGGCATATAGGTCATGGCAATCAATATTCCGCACGAGTTAAGATAGTATAGGTTCGGACGGAGGGTTGTTTCTTGGAAGCCGATACGATCTTAGGCTATCACGTTACGTTTTGCACGACGATCTACATACTGTAGAAGTACATATATACCTTACGTTTCGATATGAGTGTGCACGAGTACACTCTTTTATATACATAGGTGTTTCTTTCATATAACATCCTTCCATCTCCAGTATGAAGCTTGGTTAATAAAAAGAAGTGATGATAGAAAAGGATAAGGGTAAAACTTAAATCAAAGCAAAAAAAAGTATTTTCATTTATACTTAACATAAGGATTTAGTAAAATGTTTTGAATTTATTTTCTTTGAAAAGCTATCTCGGCTACGAGAATTTTATATCATCGTGTCGAAGGACCATTCAAGTAAATGTTTATGAATTAAAGGTTTTTGAGATGAATGGCGATGTGTGATGTAGTCTTTATGGTGATAAATAATTAACGTAAACTAATGAAAAGATATTAATCAATTAATTGGTTTCATTGGATAATAAAAATCGTGTTTGATATGATATTGAAGACTTCTTATAGGAAACGTTCTTCAACTGTAATTGAATTTAATCGATGATGGTTATTATTAGAAATTACCACATAGGTGCCAATCGCCCGAATCTTAAGAGATAACTTGCAAAAGTAATTAGTAAGTAAGAGTAGCCATCTGTACTAATTCTAGTTCGAGTTAATTTGTCTATAATTGAGTCTAAACTTCTTGGACGAGAAATATAAGCATAGCGTTCGTATAAAATAATCAGGAGTTGAGATTTAATTTAGGTATACTTTGAGGAGTTCTAAATATTTCGTTTCAACGGCGAAAATGTTTCTTGCTGTATTTAGTTTAGTTACTATAACTAAACGTCTTTTTCTAATATCAACCCAAAAGATTATATTAGGTTGTGTGAATCAAATGTATGAATTCAATCAATTTGATTATATTCTAAGTTAATATGCTAGTGACGAGCCTGATATCAGCATTTTAGATTCTAATGTGTTGTCGAAAGATAAAAAACGAAATCCCCCAGAACCAATTACTCGTTCTAGTTCCTCTACTTTCCTTGCTTCCTGACATGGTGCGGATACTTGTCGTTTCCTAAAGCTATATGATAATTGCTGGTGTATAGGGCCAATACAGTTTGCCATTGTTCAAACATTTGACACATTATCTGTTATTCGATTATTCAATGATCCATTTTAAACATGTTCGTTGATGAGTAATTGCTTCTCTATCGTGAAATTGTAATATTCAATGAGAATGTGTTGTTTAAGATGCGTGTAAAGATATTTTTCTTTCTGTTAGGGTTAAATGATGAAAAAGTTACTTATAATAATTTTTTCACATTGTATGGTTTGCTACGTGATTTGAAAAGAACATCAGATGATATTCGTTGGTACAATTCCCTCCATGCATTTTTGTCTTGGATGGTAGCGTTAAATGACCCCTTTTTTGTCATGATGGCTGTTTTTCACCCCATATCAATAACTGATAATCAGGTCTGCTAAAAGTAAGACTGCGTTCTCTAATCCATTTGCTGAGATCTTCCTTTTCTCTTGCTTGATGATTTTAAATGATCCATATTTTATTTTATCTACACTAAGAAATTTAAGATGTATTTAAGTATGCTCAATACTCTGATTCTTTTTTTCACTCATTCCAAAGCCGAATAGAAGATCATATAAGCATTTATCGTCATTTCATGGGAGTCTATAATTTTGTTGAGTCATAAATTGACGTAAATTTCTTTTTTGGGGATTGTCAATGACATCGTAATTGATTCAAATATTATGTACCTACTATACTATTGGGTTTTATTCTCCAGGAAGATGATAAGTTGATACATATTTTTAATTTCTCTTCATTTTTATGAAAAAAAAAAAACAAAAAATGTTGTAGTAGTATTACAATCATTAAGCATAGTTATTGAAAATTAGTTGTTGACTTTGAGGATGATTTTGAATTGACGTTTTGGACTTGCACCTCATTACTATCTAGAATCCCTACTGAAGAAAATAGCTGTATCATTTATAAAAGTCCTTTTGTATAAGTAACACAGAATACTTAAAGGTTACGGAATACTTTAAAGGTTCATTAACCTTGACTTGTTGTGAATTGTAGTTGTCATCTGGAAATCGGCTGTGAACCGAAGACTGAAATCATTTAGACTACTAGTTATATACTATTATGTGTATATTCTCAATGTTATAAGTACGAAGGCTTTCACGGCCGGTGTGAATTGAACTAAAGTTAGAACTAACACTAGAAACTTTCGGGTTTTGCCGTGCGTCTTTTAAGAAAAGGTTTGACGTTTCGGATCTATGTTGAAAACTTCTTCAGAAACTGGTTCGAAGTCGAGAGTTGCTTAACTTTTTTAAAAGACGCACCTTAAAACCTGAAAGTTTCTAGTGTTAGTTCTAGTTTTAGTTCTAATTTTAGTTCATATCTCAATGCTCTTGGATAAGTGCAAAATTATTTTACATCAAATCACGGCACAGCAAAAGATAGTAGGTATAGTACGGTGCAAGTACGTCACAAGTCCAAAATAAATCACCTGTGAAGTTTTGGATGAAGGGTCAAATGTCAGGGTGTACCTTAGGAGGTTTAAGTTAACAAGTACGAATGGGGTATGTGTTTGTGTAGTGGGCGAGGAATCCTTGCAGCATATTCTGCAACAGTGTATAGATAGCAGAAGAACGAAGAGAAGAGAAGTTGTAAGGAGGAAGAGGGAAGCGTGAACTGGTTAGAATGGACGGGATGGATGATGGAATTGGTTAGCTGCAGGTATGGTGCTCGATTATTGAAAAGTGTTGGGCAATAGGGTGGCTTATTTGATCAACTATTGGCAAAGGTCTTGCCACAATAGAAGCATTACTTTGGCTAAGCGGTTGAGGATGTCCCTTTTCGCTGGCTGAACATGTGTAGAAAGAAAGAAACGTGATCATCCATATCAATATTCGGAGATTAGATTTGGAATTTAAGGATCGTAGAAAGATCACCACACTCTATCACGTCCTCTAGAATCGGCCAAAAATTTCCCCCTTACCGAGTTTGCTCATCTGATTAGAGCGGCTTTAAACGTTTAAGAGGGTTTTTAAATTCTGTACGGGTTTCTGCCTCTTTCACTTCTTCTCCTTTATGGAGAGTACGGTAGAGGTGGCAAATCTTTGCTATTTGGGTTGTCGTCTTGCCGATCCGCAGAGTAGACATCTACTCTTTCGCTATGTCGCGGTAGCGTATGTGTGTTGCTCATGGCATGTGAGAAGTATAACCAT